AGGGTCGCATGAATTCGTTGACTACCGTCTTACAACAAGAAGTGGACAGATTTAATAAATTGCTGAAGGTTATTAAGGTAAATTTTAAGATTTAATTAACTTAATCACAATTATTGCTTTCAATAATAGCTGCAAGAGCTTGTATTATTTATAAATAATATATGCAAGCATATAAAATAAATGTTCAACATCAGTAAACCTTTTTTTTTTGTCAGTCTATAAGAAAACTTCCACTTTAAATGTCTTTTTTAATAATAATGCTATTGGGGCCTTGTCACTTTGATGAATTCTTTTACAATGGGTTGATAGCTTTTTTAAAATCCAATCACTTCATATATAGCATTTTTAGAATCCAATCACTTCATAATTTAAGATTAACTGTCAATAATTAACCTAATTATTATTGTGGTGGAAACAATAAATATTTCCTTTTAGAAAATCGATCATTTGTAAACCTATGAATGCTTATTTACAGAATTCACTGGAACAACTTCAAAGAGCAATTAAAGGTTTTGTTGTTATGAGTGAAGAATTAGAACGTGTTTACAATGCTTTCCTCAACAATCAGGTATACATTTTTCCTTTTTATATATATATTTTTTTTAAATTTAAAAATGTTATGCATAAATTATTGATGTGTCAGATGATTCATCCGGCAGATAAGGCATGAAATATAGCATAAGTCTTAAGTGTGTAATTAGAAGAACTTAATTATTCCATTCAAATGTTAACATTATTTCAGGATACATTCAGTTGAATATATATAAGACCCAAATTACAGTGATGGTTGAACAATTATAAATATTCAAAGAGAAATTTGTATTTCAATGTTGGAATGAACTCAAAACAAAATTAATTTATTGCTCTACACATTCTAATTGTTCAAATTTTGGAAAGTTTTCATTTCTCAACTGGTCCACATGTTAATGCCTATCATTAAACTTTTAATACTTGGTAATTTTCTGAAGATGTCCACATGACTTATGTTCCATTTAATTCAATAGGTCCCTGGTTTATGGGCAAATGCTGCCTACCCATCACTTAAACCCTTGGGCTCCTGGGTCAAAGACCTGGTTTTGAGATGCGCCTTTATTAACAACTGGATTGTTCATGGTCAGCCTAAGTCCTACTGGCTCTCAGGATTCTTTTTCCCACAAGGTTTGAACATTTCAAAATTTTGAAAAGATAAATTATTTTCATTGTTGGCTGGTTGCATTCAAAAGAAGAAGAAAAATGTTGTGTTTGATTGAACTCATCTTATTTTGAAACCATTTGGAAGTTACACTAATATTGAAAATTAATAAAACAGTTGGTTTGAGTGAAACAGTAATGACATTTTAAGAAAAAGTTTATATATAAATAAATACAAGGACCTTTACTCTGAATAAGATGTTGAATTAGATGCCCATTAGGAGTGGAGGTCATACATAAATCTTGTCAATTGCTAAAGATTGTTCTTTTTAATTTGTTTTTGCCACAGGATTTTTAACAGGCACGCTGCAGAACTACTCTAGGAAACACAACCTCCCCATTGACCACCTGAGCTTCCAGTTCAACATGATCAAAGTAATGAGAGACCAGGCTGAGGTCACTGTACAAATGCAGAGCCTTAAGTTTGGAGAAGAGATACCTTTAGATAAAGAGGTAATTAGGTTAAGGTGGCAACTTAAACTACCACTTGTGGTGAAGTTAACCTGTACCAGGGGTACTCATTTCAGGTGGTATTTTCCACAGGTGCTCAACCTATATTGTTTTACTTACACAATATGTTAGTGTCTCATTAATCCAGAGGGGGTGCTAGTAGGTACGGAAGATGGAAGGAAACACCTGCTGTAACTTGATTAAAAAATCTGCGTAGCCAATTGTGCATAATGTCATATAAGTTGATACCATGACGTTCTTATGACACAGTTTGTTCTTGCCATGCCACAGATAACCCTACCAGAAGACGGTGTCCTGGTGCATGGTCTGTTCATGGATGGCTTCAAATGGGACTGGGATGAGATGGTGTGCTGTGATGCTGTACAAGGTGTGTATCAACAATTTCAGTCCCTGGATAAACTGGAACAAATCCTAAAATAATATACATGTGGTTAATGGTGATGTTGTTTTACATGATTTGTACAATTGGGGTAAATATGGTATCTATGCTAATTATTTTTTAAAAAATGTTCCCACTTTTCTAGCCAACACTAGAAATCAAAATACCCGCTATGATGTAATGTAATCAATTAATGTTACAGGCCAGATGAATTCAAGCCTTCCCATGATGCACATGGAGCCAAAGATGGACTATGAACCCAGTGATTCTCTGTACTCAGCACCACTGTATAAAACAGCTGAAAGGGCAGGTGTACTGTCTACCACAGGTAAGGGGAAAACAAAATGGATGGAGTTGAAGACTTTAAATAAATCATTCAGGAACATCTCACTTTGTTATTGGTTTGTTTAGTTTTGAAGCTTTTGTTAGATAAAAGTTATGACACTAACACTCAGGATAAAAAAAAAGACTATAACTTTAAAAATAATCCACTTATTATTCTTAATCAATGCATAAGTTTCCTTTATTCTTGTCCCTGATGCAAAAAAAAAAATATAAAAAAAAATATATATTTTTAAAAATTAATAATATTTTGGATATGGCAAATTAAAGACACTCCAAACTTTGACATATTTAGTTGTGTATGGTACCCATTTTCAACTCTCTATGGTTCGCAGTAGAAGCAGTCTAATGGATGTTGCCCCGCCAGAATTTCAACCAGCATCGTTAAAATTGTTGTTGAAATTTTGGCAACACCTCTCTAAGATGGCACAGTTGCATCATTCACATAGCTGTTAAGACAACTCTGAAATTACTTGTACATTTTGCAATTTCTATAACAGTTCAGCTTTGTTTATTTTAATTTATTTTGTCTGCCTATTGTGCAGGTCACTCCACCAACAATGATTTATTTTGTCTGTCTATTGTGCAGGTCACTCCACCAACTATGATTTATTTTGTCTGTCTATTGTGAAGGTCACTCCACCAACTATGATTTATTTTGTCTGTCTATTGTGCAGGTCACTCCACCAACTATGTTGTTGCCGTCCAACTGCCATCAAACATGTCACAAGATTATTGGATAGCCAAGGGAGCTGCTTTGCTGTGTCAGTTGAGTGAATAGATTTCTCCCAAACGTTTCTTCCTTTTTTTTTATCCAATCAACCTGCTTTGTAGGTTAAAGTGAAATCAGTTTTAATCACACTAATTTAAGTGAAGGCGACCAGATCCCTTTGACAAAAAAATCATAGATTTAGTTTGTCAAATACTTTTTTTTATTTATAAATTATTTGTTATTTAGGTGTGTTTTTAACGAGTTTAAAAAAAAATGAAGCTATATTAATTTTATAAATAAAAAGTTAGACAAATCTCATAGGCTTTGTATACTGCTTTGATTAGCTCCAAACAGTCATCCGTAACTTCAATGGCAAGTGAACGATATCATTGTACATTTATGTAAGTTGTATTAAATGCTAGTTAGTAAAGTTCTTATTTTGTACATTGTAAATACCTTTGCTACTTTGAATTTGTAACAATTTTTTCAATGACGTGTACAATGAGCTGAGCAGAACTGTGATATCCATTTTAAATTACTGCAAATTTTTATGAATTATTTTTTTTTAAATAACTGCTAATGTTGTGAAAACAAAGATACTGGCCTAGCTTTGACTATTCTTTGAATTATTATCTTCATAGCAAATAACGGGAGAAATGCATAGTGTTTTATGTCATTTACCGTTGATCTATAAATTGAAATAAATATGAGCAGAGTAGGCACATTAAAATATTTTAATTTTATTATAAAATATTGTTAAAGAAATAATAAAGTTATATCCAATCCAGTTTATTAATGACCATCCATTCCATTTTTCTCACCTGCAATAATTTTGACAATCTGTACTATATGTTAACTTTAAGCCAAGTCCGGGATCAGACAAATGAGATAACTTTAATGTTGTTCACTGTTTTAGCTTTATGATGGTTCAACAAAATTTTTTTTGGTGTTTCAATTTATAACTAATACATAACTTTAATCTTTTTCATGTTAACCTATTTTTCAGGACTATGTGTAAAAATATGTCCTGAAAGTAATTCATAATAAACCAACCTCGCACTTTAAAATTGGTAATCCGAAACAGTTATAGATATTATCTACACAAAACAAATACATATAACTACTACTGGATTATCATATGAAGCAAAATTATTTTGTGGTGAAATGTAAATATAAATGTTGTAATTTATGCAAAAATTCTATTAATTATGCTACATTTAATCTCATTTTTGTTCACTTTTCTTTGAAGTCTGGATTTTAATTATTTTTTTAAAACAACTGTGTATTTGATACTTTTCATGCAACAATAAATATTTTTAAAAAGTAAATGTTATTCAGTATTTTAAATACAGATCTGATTGAATGTTTAAATATATACTTCTTGAGAACTTATTTCAAGGTGGATATTTTCTTTTACTTTGTTAGAAAATGAAGGCAATGACATTTTATTAGAAAACCAGGAGACATTAATTTAAAATAAAGGTGAAATATAATATCTCCAAATTGTAGGAACACAATATGAAAATGAGATACAATAGCTCTCTCCCATTTCATTACTGGCTTAGACTATTCGTACCCGGGTACCAGAAGTGAGAGGTTGGGATTAAAAAAATATTTCAAATTTTATTGTTGGGTTTGTAAGACAAAATGAGGGATAAGGATAATTAGTGAAAATTAAGATTTTGTATTAGAAATTACAAAATAAATAGAAATAAAAAAGGTTATTACAAATGAAAGATAATTGAATGGACTACATGTTTGTAAACTTAATTCTTCAGTTTAACTAAAATAAACTACCACAAATAACATCAGAATAGCTTGAGTCTAATGGTACCCGAGTGTGAATGGTGGCGCTGTGTGTCTGGGTCCATTTTTAAAATATCACAAACTAAAGAAAAACACATGGTGTTGGGTCAAATTTATTTCCATGAACTTAACAAATTAAACATCACCTATCCATCATTTAAAAAAACAAAATGGAAGTTAATGTGAACAACATTTTAAAATTTAACTAAACAAAATCTAACTCAAAAATTATTTTTATATAGTTAATTGAAGCTTTAAATGACGTAAATTGCTTTTTATAAGACCTTGAACAAATGCTAAGTTATTTACTTTCATAAGCAGTTATAAAAAAACAAATTTTGAAATAAATCATAAATGCTTATAACTGTTGCAGCAAATAAACGAAATGAAGCTGATTAATTAAAACAAGAGTAAATATTGTGTTATTTTATGTAGAATGCCACCCTGAAGTATAATGTATCACAGGAAATATAACTATTATGCCACTGAATAATCCACACCGAACTGGGTAAAAAAAATAAATTAAAATGAACATTTTAGGTGGTTAAAAAAAAAGACATTAAACAGAACTTGGATGCACTTATAAGAAGAGTTTTTAAACATAAAATTTATTATCTAGAAATTTTATTTAGCTCTCTAGTATCTGAACACTTGCAATCATAGGGAAAAGATTTATCCCAAAGGCATTGTTAATTGAGCTGATTATCCAGGTGGCCAGCCCATCTGTCTGCCACCAGTAACGTGTATATGAATATGGTACACAGACTGACCACCATGGGCACCATCGTTGATGATGACACGGAAGCCCTTGTTCAGGCCTCTATCTTTAGCAACCTTTCTGGCTACAATGAGAAGGTGGCCCAAAAGCTGGAGACACAGAAGTAGAAAAAGAGTCAGGGTCGTGATATGTAAGTGGAAAAACTTTTTAACTAATGCATGGGCTATTTGGGTGTTCCACCTTTGTGCTGAAAATAAAGAGTGACATTATAGCTATACTTCAAGCAATCATTACATTAAAAAGGCTATGTAAAAAAACAAAAAAATCTAGTTCCACATGTGGCTAATTTGACAATAAAAATTATTTTCTGCATTATAAAATTGAAAGGAGAATCATGAAAAGTTATGACATGCTAGCGTGGAGTGTAGAGGCTTTAATTGTCTAAGAATAATGTTATACAAGGAAAGAAAACAAAAACAGATAAAATTCAATCACACAAAGGCAAATATCAAGAAATATTTTTGAAGAAATTATCCAGGAGGCCAATCCAACTGTCGGAGACCCAACACATGAAGATGGATGTGCATAACAACCTGTCCACCATCGGGACCATCATTGATGATAACTCTATAGCCATTGTTCAGGCCTTTATCTTTAGCCACTTTTCTGGCTACAAGGAGCAGATGGCCAAGTAACTGAAGAATTAAAAATGTTGTTTAAGAATTTATTTCTCTGTATTTTTATCCAGAGAGTAGGTAGAAATTTAACGACAATTTTAGAAAATCAACTCCTTTTCTTATACCCCTTTCCAAAGATAATCATATATTTAAACTCATCTAATAACAACATTTTTAAAATAATTTGGTCGGATGCTTCTCTTCACATAAAAAAAGCTGAATCTGAAATCTGAATGGTGTGCAGAATATCAGTAAGTGTTTTCAATAAAAAAAAAAATTTAAGTTCTTATCTCAGAGTTAAGTAGAGGTATATCCTAAGTCTTCTGAGAAATCTTTTTTTTCCTTTAAATTTGCACACTTAAAAAATATATATATATACATATTATATATATATATTTCTTTATAAAAGGTTTAAGTATGCATTTTATCTGCATATGCTTTAATACGATATCAAATTAAGGCATGGCTTAAATATCTGGGAACTTGGCTTAAAATTTTTGTTATAGATGTAAGATTGTATTACCAAACTGATGGGAAACCTTACTTACCTGCTCATCTGCATCCTGAGCATCAGATAATTTAACAATTGGTTTCTTGGGGACCACAAGGAAATGAACTGGAGCTTGGGGAGCTATGTCATTGAAGGCCACACACTAGAAATGAAGTAAACAAAATAGCTGAAAATGATGTTAGTAATCAGGGCATCAGGCATCATGGAGAGGCGGGTGTCAGTGGTGTACCCTCTGGGCCTTGGCCTCGAGATGTCCTTTTCACAAGTAGCCAAAATTGTCATTTTTTCATTCAAAATATAATATATATTATTTACCCTTTTTTTTTAAACGCAGCAACCATGGTCTTTGCCAGTCTTAATGCAGGCCAAAGCCAATGGTTTTGTTAGGTACACTGCCGCGTTCAAAAAGGCCAATGAATGATAATAATAATGATGTCAATCAAAGTCAAAGTCCATGGGATGGTTTAGTTAGGTACACCGATTGCGCTAAAGTAAGATATTACTAATTACCATTCTATTGAGAAAACCATTTATACCTACCTGCTCATCTTCGTAGAGAAAATCAGTCTTTATTTCACCTCGGATTATCTTGCCGAAAATAGTGTCTCCACCAGGTTTAGCGGATTGTGCCAGCTCAACTTCGGACGCCATGTTGCAAAATGCCTAACGACAGCAATTTTTACTTAATTTTTAGAGAAAAAAAGTTTAACACTTTTCCAGGAAATAAACGGGACTAAACAACATTTTCAAAAATAAAGATTGGGCTTTCCTATTTCTTGTTAATTGTGTTTTTATTTTTACAAAATGTACCAAACTTTTTTTTTTTGTGGAATTAATGGTAATGGCTCAGTGGGATTAAAATATGTCGCGCTCTTATTTACTAATTAAGGCAGATTTTAAATTTTTGGCTTAGGCGACGTTACGCCATTTTTTTTAAACGGGATACTATGCTAGATAGATCTCAACTAGCAAAATTTATGCTATCCAGGAGTATCTAAAAACTGAATGCTTTAGTTTATATTCTGTAGCAGAAAATTTTTTTCTTATACATTTAGAGGGCCCACGATCAATGTATTGATCATTCTGACTCCTATGTTTTATTACCGAAACGTCATTTCATAATGCAAATAAAACGGGGGGGGGAACAAAACTATTATTTAATAATTAATTTTCATTTATTTTTATGTGTTTGGAAAGGGGGGGGGGGTGTGCAGGTGAATCTCATGATACTGGACACCATTAACTACTCTAACAATGAAAAAACTAATTATAGGGCTAATAACTAAATGCAAGATATAAGTAAGGTCTGAAGAGGATTGCAACGTAGTGATGATCTTCTTTTAATTAAACTTTTTTTTTTTTTTAAATTATGCATACCCTGTATCAGTGGCGTAGGCGGGGTGCGGAGTGGGTGGTCCGCCCAGGGTGGCACTTTTTAAATTGTATATTTAGGAATGGCATTTTCGGCCAACTGCAGAGTTGTTTTTTTCGCGAAAGGGGGTGTCGAAAGCTTGGCCCGCCCCGATTGGCAACAACCCTAGTTACGCCACTTTCCTGTATCATTGTTCGTGCACTTCCGGTTTCCATTTAATGTGTGTGCTTTTTTTGCCCCCCCCCCCCCCTGTTTTTTTTTTGGTTCTCTTAGTAGCTGTGCGGGAGGGAAGGATGGGGGTTGGGTTACAGTGACGTAGATATTTCACCACGGGCATAACGGAATTTTATTTTCTCATATGGACGCCCATGCCCTCCCAATTACTTATGTCAACCTGATCCCAAAACATCAACAGACATTTAATTAAATATCATAATCCTTCTAGGATACTTCATCTCTTAAAAAATAGCATTGCTCGTCATTCGCATGCGAAGATTACCATGGCATTATTCGACTTGAGTAGTGGCATACTTCAACAGGCAAGACGGCAAAAGGGACCCGACCTGTCGGCACTGCACGCTAGCCTCGGAGACACTAGCTCATTAGTCGGAAAACTCATTAATCAAAAGATCAAAAAATCAGCAACAGATAATTTTAAAAAAAAATAGAGAGCCAAATTTCTTTTCAAGAACCTGTCAAGAACCATGTTTTTCGGAGTCAAAACCAATTTCTGACCGAATGGGACTCAGGTCGCTAAAGAGCCGTATGCGCCTCGCGAGCCGCGATTACCCAACCACTGGACTAGCTTATCTGTTAGTTGAATGCCCGGTACTGGATGTTGTGGGGTAGGCCAGGGTGGTCTATGTTACGACGATGTTATATGGCACAGCCCAGCAGATGACGCTGGTTGCCAGTGTTCTAGCCGGGGCTTTAATTAAGTAAGCTCAAGCCTCAGCCAGAATGTGTATTAATTTGTAGCCTTGAACTGAACAATATTTCCTTTAAACTGAGGGAGAGTTGCTAAATTCGCCAGCCTCACTCTCCCCTCCTTGCCTATTTGACCCAATGACAAGATTTTTGTCAAAACGACTGGAAGTAGTCCTGGATGCAGTATATGACCAGCAGTGTTTTCTCCCCCATATGTGCTCTATATACGTTCCATGTCGCAGAAGGTTCGGAATTTTCATTCTTTCAATGCCATAACACCTACGGGACTCTGGGCTTCCTCAATCGTTACAAAAAGTGTCCAAAAGTTGATCAAATTATTATTTAAAATTTATCTTCAGTTTTTTTTCTTCTTCAAGGATGGCTGAAGAAAAGGACTGCGCTTCATCCCGTAGCGTGGCTAAGTTGCGAGGGGTGGGGTCAGAGGTCCGGCAGCTCCCCCTGCGACCAATTTTCCTAATGGAGGGCATTTTCATTTTCAATGATATGACTTTTTTCCGCCTGTCGAATAAAATATTTTTTGTTTCAATAATAGGAATGTATTTTTTTTTTTCATTGGCGTAATTTCTAGTTTCTTTAAAAAGTAAACACTCCATAATTGAAGATCACTTTAAGAAACATTAATGAAATCCAACAATTACAGGATATCTTTTTTTTTTTTTTTTTTTTTTTTTTTTTTTGTTTTAAAAAA